GTTCTGTGAAAATGAATCCTTGCTGTAATAATAGTTAAAAATTGTGCAATTTAAAGTTAGTCACCAGCTTCACTACAAAAGAGTTTGGTCATAAATTTTATGTATATTTTATGTATAAATCTTATATTTACAGGCCAGGTGATTACTTTCTTTGTTATACATTTAAAATGGCCACCACTTTGGTTTGTAAGATGTGGGGAGTCGGTTTAAGTTTTGAGGATTATTATACATGTGGAAAATGAAGTAAAAATAATTCCTATATCTTGATAAATTGATTTAATCTTAAAGTTCAATAAGCTACCATGTCGTTCAGTTCTAAATACCTGTGACTTAAAGTTTTGTGCCTTTGTACAATCACTGTGATCAGTTGTAATGCACACATGTAAATGATAAACTGAAGCAAATTGCACATTTTTCTTGAGAAATCTGAAGTTGTTCATAACATGTTTTGTAAAAGGATAGTTCATTAAATAAAAAAATATCCTAATGTGATTGTACTTCTTTCCACTAAAACAAAGGGGGAAACATGAATTTATTGTTATTAATAGCTATGATGAGCTATGCTATGATTCTAATGGTCCGGCCCACTTGACATCAAATTAGGCTGTATGTGGCCCCTGAACTAAAATGAGTTTGACACCCCTGGTGTATAGTGTTTAAACAGTTTGAGAGAAAAACAGACTGGCCCACCATGAAAATTCCCAAACTTCCTGATGGCTAGTCAGCCTCCCGGGGTCAGGTTGGAAAGAGAGAGAGCCACACACACAGCATCTGAATTGAACAAAGCAGCGTTGTAATACTGTAATTAGGAAAATTAATTCATATATCATAGTGTTGCTATGCATTTTACTTTGCCAAGTGGCAACCCAATAAAAACTGAAAATGAACGTGGAAACATGGGAAGCAACACCCATCTTTCCTTCCTCACCAGCACCAAGGACAGCTTTTAGATAAATCAAACTTTGTATTAAATATTAAGAATATTAACCCTTTTTGGAGAAATACTGTACTTAAAAAAACAACAACAACAACAAACTTGTAACCAGTAGAACATTTATGGAAGTGTGCTGTGATAAATACTGACATCATCCCAGGCTGGAAACACTGAGTGGACAAGCATGCACTCCATAAATGCTGTATTATAGTCCATGCTGATCTGGGATAAAAACTGTTTGTCTGGTCCATTTCAGTTATTGTATCACCTACAAATGCAAGTACCTGCAGTGAGCATTGCACTTTGTGTAAAAACTAAAATAATCAATACCAGCAAAGCCCAATTAAAGAGGACATGTGGTCAACCAGAAAGATACTGTCCAAAACCCCTGGAGATGTGTCAATGCCAGAGAGCACAGCATATAAATTAACACCTGACGCTGTGCTAACTGGCAGCTAATCATCCTGTAGTGACTATAGTCTATTGTTATAAGATCAAGCTGGAAGGCAAATGTGAAAATGCCAAAAAACAAAGGCTGCACCCAGAAACCTATCGCCATTAACATGTAACATCTCTACCACTGCATGGTGAACAGGAGAAACTGCATTACTGTGCTCACTGTTCTTGATTTAAATGCAGGGAAGCGACAAAACATCTGGTTTAATCAACAAAGCCCCATTCTGCAGCAGAGGGAGGAAGTGATCAGTCAGTAGTGTTCAATGGGAATGAGGACAACTTGCATGGCACAGGACTGGAACTGTGAGAACACTGCACCAAACTGCTGTTTATATACCTCAGTATTTACACATTTAAAGGTACCTTTTACTCACACGGTTGTCACTCAAAACATAAATAAAAACTAACATTCTTTGCAAGTCTGAAATTCTTTATCAGCCGAGTTGCATAAGTTCACGACATCACATCTTAGCAATGTTGTTTCTGGATTTAGGAGAAGTGCTGATATTTCCAAGTGACAGATAATAGGGAGTCACACACAAGGTGAATATTAGTGGTGTAAGAAAATATCAATACACTCGAGTATCGGGTTATTACATTTTGTGATACTGCATCAATTCTCAAACACACAGTTTCGGTTTTTAATTAATAGTTCACATGCCATGTAATGCTATGTTGTTGAATGCAACAGGGACTGTGACAAATGTAAATGCTGATCCCTCTTCTGACTGCATAAAAAAAGTTACATTTTATGGGAGATTTTATGCATAAGGTGGTGTGTTGCTTATATTATTTTTAAAATTATATTTTAAAAAAATGTTGCAATATTGCCTTGTTTACAGTGTCACACAATATGTCGAATCGTAACCCCTGTATCATGATACATATCGTATCGCCAGATTCTTGCCAATACAAAGCCCTAGTGGATATCAGTTTTTAGTTGTAATCATGTAGTGTCGACACAGCACTAGGCCTTTCTGTACGAGTCACTCTAGTGGAGCAGCAGAGATACACAGGTTGTTTAAGGCACAGGCAACATGCACAATCTTATCAAAGGTTGAGAGGCTGGACGTGCGCTCAGAGGCTGTGGTGAAGGGGCTCTCAACAGGGCCTGTGAGCATAGCGTATCTCTGCTTCACCATGGAGATCACCCTCTCCACATGCCTCTGCACGCTCACTGTCTCAGAGGACGTGTCAGCCAGTGGTGAGCCCTCTGAGCTCTCATAAGCTCCTCCTTGGTAGTTGCCAGCAATTTTAAACAGGGCTCCACGGGCCGCAACGGACTCGCCAATGTCGAGATCACGATTCGCCAATACCACATCACCTGGGAGAAGCTTGCACAGAAACCCACACCCCTCAGCCAGACTCTTGTCACTGACGTTTCCCAGCACACCCCTGGAGACGAAAGTGACAACGCCTTGTGGAGCTACACCAATCAGATACTTTAACACATTGTAGCTTGTCCCCACACCCTGAGAGCTCAGTTGTTGCTGCTGGTTGCCCTGTGCAGCCGGCTCCTCGAAAGGCACTGTGAAACAATCAACGATGACAGCGCAGTCCGGGTAGGACGTTCGCAGCGCTGCTGGCAGGTTTTTCCGAAGCTCAGCTCTAGAGGGCCAGAAGACAGCAGTCGGCACCAGAGTGGAGGACATGATGTTGACCATCCGGTGCACTGTTCTGGTTACTGTGCTAACTTTCACACCAAAGCGGTAGGCCAGGTCTTGATTGCGGAGGTCCAGACGGAGTCGAATCAGTGTCAGCAGCAGCTGCTGGAACTTGGAGAGCTTCACATTCTTCATCCTGTCCATGTGAGGTGCCAGCAGCCACATGACTGTCTCTAAGACAAAGTAGTTTGGTAAACCAGTATAAAACTTCACTTTCTCTGCATCGCTCCTCAAGGAGTTCTCGGAGAGGGACATTTTCTCCACAGACTCCCTTAGGGCCTGATTCTCCTTCTTCAGTGCTTTCAGGATGTCGTCAAAGTTTACTGGTGCACAAGACATCTGAGCAAACTTTCCTCTCTTGCTGTCACTCACAGATTCATCATCATCATCATCATCGTCGTCGTCGTCTTCATCAGTGCTGAAGGAAGAGGATGTACTTTCCTCCACAATGGCATCCTGCTCTCCCTCCTCAGGATGCTCTTTCTGGCCCCGCTTGCCCACCACAGACCTGCCCTGGCCCTGCAGGAACAACAGGGCGTTGGCTGCCTCCACGTGTGCTTCCTGCTTGTCCAGAACCTCTAAGGCACCTGGCTCCTTCATCTCTGGGAATAAGGGAACTGTTGTGAACACAGATGGAACATAGTCTGGTGAATGTGGATTCTTGACCTGTTTACCTGCATGTGGAAAGAGAGGACGTAAAGTTTGAGAACAAAACGTAGTGGGGAGGCATTCAAGCTTTCCCCCCACCTGAGCTGCCCACTGCAGCTGAAAGATTTTTAGGGTTGGATTTAGGATGAGGATCTGTATAATGAGGTGTCTTATGGGTGTGGCAATTTAGGGCTCTTCTCATGGCTAATTATATCTCCTGTTATGAACAAACAGTACACTTATGTAGAATTGTTCTGAATGAAAATGTGAATGGTATATTGATGCAAGAGACAGTAGTGTGACATTGAACTCATAACAGGTCAACAACACTACAATAACCACATCAAATTCAATCTAAGTGAATGCATCACTGAACATGTCTTTTTTAAAAATAATTTACCCATCAACTACACGATGGAATCTACAATACTAAAATTTGCCTCCTCCTTTAAAGCAGTGATTAAATGAATAGTTGATCACCAGAAAATTAATTGGCCATTTCAATAATTTTACATGTAAAAATGCCAAATGTTTGCTTGTTCTAGCTTTGCAAATGTGCAGGTTTAATGCTTTCTTTCTTGCACATCATTGCACACTCAGTATAATAATCAGCAGATTCATCAGTAATTAAAATATTCAGTAACTGCATACCACGTTTACTTTAAGCCATTTATTACTGACGAATCGTTTCATATTTTGTTTTGCAAGAATGTGCGTTGGCAATGTTAAGTTTGTCAGTTACTCTTAAAAGTATTACAACTGCAAATACGTTTGGGGTTTTTTAAAATCAAATTTTAGTGATTTAAAAAATATCAACTAGCTAATAAGCCAAATAATACGTCAATTTAATATTGACAGCTTCGGGGTTAACTACTGCCTTTAAAGTCGATACGGAACATAACTCAATTTCTAAAATAATTGCAATAACACAAAAAATTAAGTACATCTTCCACTGCATTTACGGTGCCCGCTACTTTTTACTAAAGCCAGAACATTTCAGAAATAACAATAATCCGCTGACATAAAAAACTTAAGAAATGCATTTGGAGTCTCCCATGGGAATTAGCCTGTGTGCAATTCCTGCAACATTAATCTGACCTGGATGAAAGCAAACAGTGGGGCACTTTGTTTCACAGCAGTAACGATACTGCATCCATACCTGAGATGAAGTGAGTACTACACAGCCGACTGCCGTCATTCGGGACCCAGCCCTCTCTGTTCACAGCAGCTATCCAGCGCTGCTTCCTCTCGGGGTCCCGGGGGAAACGGTAGAAAGATAAGGTGGTGCCCGGAGTCCTTCGGTTCCTACAGCCTGCCACCACACATGTGTGAACCATAGTAAGACCACAGAGAAGCGCGGAAGTGTGCACTATTTTTGGATGTTTTGACTCCCAAAATGGTGGACGACCAGGGCATGCAAAAGAGGTAGTAACGTCAGCAGCAGTCGTTTGCATTCAATGATCTAATTGGACAATCTTACGGTAACGTAACGGAATGGCCATCCTTACGCACACGGTGCCGTAGTTTCATTGAACTCAAAATCCTTAAATCTATACTTCTTTTAGGTGAAGGTAAGAAGAGTTAAAAAAGAAAACACAAAAACGTTAGCCAGGCTCTTAAGTGGCTAGCTTAATGACTAGATGGTAGTCATTGAATGTACTGAAATGGAGGAGCCCCGTTCGGGACAGTCTCATCACCTAGGAGACTGTTCCGAACGCTCCTCCCAGAAACAGTCGGGAGGCGTCTGTTCGCAACATCGGCAAACAAACCAGCCATACATATACAAAACCAACCTTACTGACCAGCCGTAAAGTCTTTTATCCCGTAAAAGTAAGCCACGATGTTTGAAAGCGCTTCGATTAAAGCACAAATCTCGCCTTTATGCAGCTTGTCCTGGTATAGTTGTCTTCTTCTCCTCGCTCTGGTGAGCCAAGCAGGAATTTACTCAATACTGCCACCTGGTGGTCAGTAGACCCCTACCAAACTGGGAGATCTGGAGGTCTGAAATCAAGCTAAATTAAGGGTTGAACTGGATTTAGGTAGAATATTTGCCACTGAAAAGTGTTGTGTGCATATTTACACCATTATTTGACAAAACCTTTAATTCAGGGTCCCTGCTGGTCATTGCAAGTCAGCCATTACAGTGATCAGACATACTGTAGACTTGACATAGCATAAATCAAAACAGTTCAAGCACTGTAGAGGTCTATATTTATTAGTTCAACTTTTTTTCAAGCTAATGCAGTACACTATCAATATTATTTAGAGAGATCATTTCCATATTATGTGGAGAAATGTGTTATAATTTTATTATAAGTTTTCTATCAACAACACATTCATAAAAGTGCAAATTAGTGACTATATCTATCAGAAATTTTTACAATCTAGACAAAAAAGAAAAAGAAAGTTAACCCAGCCTTCTCTGGTAGAGTTTGGACTGCTCTTACAGCACCTCTGTAACTTAATGATGGATGTGAGGAGATCTTTGAATCTAGATTAGATTAGAATTTAACTTCCAGTTGGACAACATGTAATTTATCCAAGATGCGTTTAGTTGTGTGTGACCAGTTTGTACAAAGAGGTGTTCCCAGTTCCTCCTACATGCTTCAGCCTCTGGAGCTCCGTTAGACAGAGGATGTACACAGGTGTCTTGGCTCCCAGACTGGTAATCTTCTTCAGCTCCTCCATGCGAAACTCTGTCTTTTGCTCTGCAGAGGGAACCACAGAGAAGCAAGCGATTACATGCATCAGCTGTTATACTTCAAAAGTGGTCTTAATAAGTCCAGTACTAAATCTTCATATGATTGGTAGTTAATATACCACAACCAACAAATCCTTAGGTGTCTGATTTATTTTAACCTTTAGGGACTTTAAATGTTTAGATTCTTATCCATCATGCACTACCATCAGTGAGGCACCTTATTTTAGTCCCTACAATTTTTACAACAAATACAACAATTTACATGACAGTTAAATATCTCACATGCATCAACCTGGAGTTGCTGTGGTTGTTCAGGTACACCAACTCTCAAAGTAAATATCTTTGCCTCTTGAGCCTTTACAAGCATAATACTACATCGCACTCTTCATACAGTATGCAGCTATTGTGATCAGCAAAACAAGATTCACAACTGGAGTGGCTTGAACAGTATGAGTGCTGGGAATTTACACAAGTTAATGTGATACTACAGATGCCTTGTAATACAGCCTTGTGGTGTAAAATAACTCCAAAAATAATACAGTCATGCATCGCTATCTGATCCTTGGTTTATTCAAACAAGCTAGTTTTGACCGTTTGTCTCCATCATTACAAACCTCTGCAGTAGTACACAGATGTTTTCTGACACAGCTTAACAAGATATTTAGACAATACATCATTTATTGACTTTGATCCTACATGTGCTGTAGCACTGACCTTCACAATTTGCTGTGGATGTGTTGATGCTGTGGACTGCCTGATTGAGGCTGTGCAGAGTCATCTGCCTCAGGTACCCGGGTAAACTCTGGAACTCAGTCGCTGACACCACAGACAGACTCACAGCTCTGTAGAGAGGACATGTAACAATTAAAATCTTGATTTAAGATGTACAGCCTTGAATGATATCAGGGCATCACAGAGAAAGAAATCACTCCTAACTGTCCAAAAATTCTCAGAATGACATTTTTGTTCCTACTTTTAGAAATAATAGTAAGAAAAACTCATCAACATCCCTAACTTATAAAATCACTCTTGTGTTAAGTAAAATGAAGGAAAGCTCTAGATGTGTCCTAACTGGTGAGGAGCTGCCAGGAGGTGACGTTCAGACAGACACAACAAGCACACTCCGTGGGAGCAGAGACGTTTTACGTATAGAGCTCATTAAAAGATAAAGTTTGACCAAAAATCAAATAGTTTTTGGTGACAGATCTTGTGCAGGATGAGACTGATTCAACATCAAGGACACATGCTGTCTCCACTAAAACCACAGTCACAGCAGCTTTACGCCTTCTATTAACAAAGCAGATACAGCTGTAATAAATAAGACGCGGATCGCTCTTACAGCTCCAATGATAATGCACCGATTCCCTACCGCTCAGTTAATTGATGAAAAGCCTGCTGCAATTACGCAAATTGTTGGTTTCCCTGGACATACTGGAGTCATTAATGGCACACACATCAAATCATCGCCCCAAGCACCGATGAGGGCGCTTAAGTGAATCGAAAACATAGGGATTTAGAAAAAACATGTGACTGCACGGGGCTGATGAAAGGAATTTAACACAGGTGAGTCACATTATGAGTGTCTGTTTATTACAGAAATAGAATTAGTATAAAGAACATTACCAAAGAGCTTAATGAAGATTATTATTTTCTGTTACCAGCTTCTTGTCAATCCACAAAAGGCCTTCACTTGACAAGTGTTCCCAATTTCAGCATTTCAATTTTCCAGTGTCTAAAACTACAAACCCCAACTGTCACAAAAACTACAACACATGACTATAATATCAACTTCGCAGTTCTGACTGTTGTAACACGGTGACATCACACTCACTCTTTTGGAGCAGAATTACTCCCCGCTGAAGATGACAGGAATGTTTTTAGTCCTAAGGTAACTTGGGTGCAATTCCAAGGAATGATTCTAGTGCACTCTCACTGACAGCACTGCCCCCTCACTTAAAGCATTTCTTCAGAGTGGATCAATTAAAGAGGTTTTCTGAGTTACTTTACCTGTTTTTATCTTTGTCTGGCCTCACACATGGCCCGACCACCATGGTCTTCTTTAACTGAACCTGAGACACAAGCTAAAAAATAAATAAAAAACAAGAAGAGTATAACAGGAATGTTGATGTTCTGGGTATTAAGTTAAAACATGTTACATCTGTTCAAGTTATTTTTTAAACCATCTGATAAAACCCAAGATTCGCTGGGAGGCAAAACTTAGGGTACAGGAAACAAAGTATGTTTATCAGCTAAAACAAAACTACAGGCGTAGTCTTTTCAGTTGTGAAATGTACTGTTAATGGGAATAAACAGCGTACTTTACAGATATCCTGTGTCAGAGAGCTGAGGTCGGGCAGCTCCGGGGTGCTAGGGTCTTGGTACTCCATCCTAACACGAGGAGTCCCCAGGGTGAATTCCTGGGTGGGTCCATCCAGCTCCAGATGGTTAACATCAGGCTCCTTGGTGATGTTTTCATGCTCACTAGTCTTCTTTGAGATTTTCACACTTCTCTGGAGGGAAACAAACAGGTTAAAAAGAAGGCAAACGTTATACAGAAAGTCATAGGTTTATCTTTTCATAAGAAGCCATTATTTCACTAGACACAAGTCAAAAGTAGATATGAGAAATTTCAGCTCATTTGTGGTGACAAAATACACTATGATACCTTTTAATTAAAAAATGGATTTGGGACAATAGTAAACTACAGTGTAATATGTAACCTGTGGATTAAAATAAAATAAAAAAACAGCTTTCGTTGGCTCTTACACTTTGTAAAGAACGTCCCAAAACAGACTCCAGTTTTGGCATCTGTGGCATCTCCTGTTCCCCCTCATCCACAAGGGATATTTCCGGTACATTGTCGTCCCAAGTGCATTTGGAGCCATTTACTCCATTACTTGGCAGTGTTGGGAGTTCAGAGATGCGACTGTAATCATCAGGCTCATGCTGCCGTGCACTCTGCAAACACATGCAAAAAGGAGCAAACTCTTAGCTTAAAGCCTGTGTACTTCTTCTTCTTTCGGCTGTTCCCCTTAGAGGTCACCACAGCGAATCATCTGTTTCCACCTAACTCTATTCTCAGCATCCTCTACTCTCACCCCAGTTAACTTCATGTCCTCTTTTAGCACATCCATATATCTCCTCCTTGGCCTTCCTCTTGACCTCTTGCCTGGTAGCTCCATCTCCAACATCCTTCGACCAGTATAACCACTATCCCTCCTCTGCACATGTCCAAACCATCTCAGAGGTCACTGGCATGAAACTGTGCCTGTGGCTAAATTAGCTGAAAGTCTGTGTACAACCAGTGTTAATAAAGACAAAAAGACATTAATTGTGATCTCATTACTTTTGGCTAAAACTAATTTTAAAATATCAGGTTCAAAGAAAAATAATAATTAAAAAAAAAACATCACTGATAAATGTTTCACACACCTTTTTGTCGCTGACCAGTCGGTTCAGATAAGGGGTTTGAAATACTGGAATTTCAGGGGTGGTGGACACAGGGCAACTAGGGGATCCTGGGTCACTGCTGCCTCGTGCAGGTGAAGAGCACTGACCCTTTGTCTTTCTGATCTTGAACCCTGGGGTGCACAACACAGGTGGCTCTGGGGACTCCATGTTGTCTACTGGAGGCAATAAGACAGAAAAACATGTTTAATTTCAGTCCTTTTGCTTATTTTTGTGAGGAGGATTGTAGCATAAATATATTACATATATAATGTTTAATTCTTTAAATGTAGGTTTTCTAAAAAGTAATGTAATATTGCTGTGTCATCCTCAGCAATAGTCTTGGGTGACATTTTTTAAAAGTGATATTAATCTAATATTCACGCATATCAAAAACAAAGTTTCTTTTAAGAAACTTTTATTCAGTATTGTTACTTATGACAGTAGAAAAGATTAAACTCCTGGTTCAGCTGGAGTGGAACAAACAAAAGGTGGGAAAACAATGTTGTGAGTAGGGATCTCAATTAGCTTTAGTCAGGTAGGTAATGAATGAATGAATTTTGTTGACAGGCCAAAATGTGTCTGTGCTGAAAGCTGGTATCAAAGGTCAAATTAACAATATTTTTCATTTATTTTCCATAAACAAGGAGTCCCTCTTTTGTTTAAATTGAAAGTATGTTGCAAAGATGCAGACAGGAAACCTGAGAATGGGATGGGGATTTGAGAACTTTTTAATAAAAAACAAATTTAGAGAAAACAGGTTAAAAAGCATTGTTTTGGTACAGGAACTCAGGCACCGTACAGAAATATTACAAGCAACACCTAACCCTCAGAGCAGAGGCTTTTAGAGAAAGGCCCACAAGAAGTAAGAGCAAAGGAGAAGGTTAAAACTGAGGATGCTTGGTCAGAAACCAGGTCATTGATAAAGCTAGAGATAAGGAAAACAAGAAGGAGATTCAGCCAAACAACTGAAGTTGTTAGTGCAAGAGGTGCGGGAGATGTTACAGCTTTATACCTTTTGACTGCAAACTCTCGCTCAGAGAGTTCACTGCTGGTACAGCTTCATCCTGTGGTGGTCTGTTACAGAAGAGGACACTCGTAAGCAGTGATTGCAGACTCTAGAAAGACCAGTGCTTCACATCCTCTGTGTTGCCAGTCAGGTCAATAAAGGTCATAAACATGAGATAATGTTTATTGTGCTCTACCTCTGGGGCTTTGGAATGTTCTTCTGTAGCAGATCCATAGTGAAGTCGTTGTTCAGACACATGGTGTGCTCTGAGATGCCAAAGTCCTGCATCTGGGGTGTCTTCAGGTCATCGTCATTCATCTGCAGGGCTCGTTTGGGAGTGATGGGCATAGGTGGCAGCTCAGGTGAGTTGAGTGAAGGGTGAGGGAGGCTCATTTCAGGCATAGGGGGAACTTCAGAGCACCAATCCACCCCAGCCAGAGCTCTCTTCACATACGATGGAGATAGACCGAAGTCAGAGAGCTGCGGGGTTCGCAGCACATCAGTAAAGGGTGGTGGTCCTGCTCCCCGAGGCACTAGGACATGATCAGCCTCCTCCTGGCTCCCCTTTTCTTCTTCTGCTGACTTAATTTCATTATCATCTGCTACTTCATTTCCAGCTTCTGACTCCTGCCCTTTGGCCTCTGTGCAGAAGGTAACAACACAAACACATTTTGAGTGCACCTCGTTTCCTTTAATGAATAGTTAAGAACAGTAGACCAATTCCAACACCCTGCACTGCAGTAAATCTTCAATAAATCTTAGTGTGTTCATAAGAGAGTTGCAATGATTAGTCAGCCAGTAGAAAATTATCCTGCAACTATTTAGATAAACAATGACCTGACTCAGTCGTTTTTCTGGATCTTTTTCAAATCTGACAGTAAAGTGAATATCTTAAGGTTCTGGACCAATGCCTTCAAACCCCCCACCTCCCCACCCCATAAATTATCCATGGCATTTTAACATTTCATACACTAAACAATTATTTGCTTAATCAAGAGAATAAATCAGCAGATGAATGAATAATGAAAATAATCACTGGCCACAGTCCAGGTTCCTAAATATAATTCACAAACAGGTGAACGTTGGCTAACTAGCACCAGTTAGCTACAGTCATTACTCACTGGTTGGTCCCTGGGTCTCTCTGGGAACTTCGTAGCCATATTTTTCCCAGTGTGCCTTCAGAGTCTGAATGTCCTCAGTGACCCACCGCTTCATCTCTTTGCAGGCCTTAATGAAACTGCTCACTTCATCCATCTGTGCTTTCTGCCGAACCAAGTTATCCTGGATCTGCTCCTGTAGGAGGAGGACACACCAGTCGATCAACGCACTCCTTTCAGAAGTTAACCGTGCTACATATTTAGTGTATGTGCTAAAAACCACCACAAAACTGCACTTTTCCCTACTTTGATTTTTCTGTTGTTTTTTTTTAATATCTTACTGTCTTGTTTCATGGTACTAAAGGGGCCATTTCCCTTTAAACCTGTGTATAAGAATTATTCATTTTCCCTCCTTACTCCATTAATTAACTCACAACCCCTCACATGAAATCTTGTGCCCTTTGGAGGAAATCAAGCTCTAGTTTAGGAACCAATGGCCTAAACTACAGTAACTGTAGCACATATAAAAAAATAAAACATGCTCCACGTGGACCAGTAATATGATGTATCTGTATTAAAAACCTAATAATGTCTTGTGTATGTCACAATGAATATTTACTGTAGAACCAGCACTTTTACCTTAAATATATTTACGAAGTTCCCAGAGAGACCCAGGGACCAACCAGTGAGTACTTGAGCTGACAAGTAGTATGTAAAGTAGCAGTAAGTAGAACTAAATTATCTAAGTACTTCTTCCACCACTGCTGGAAGCGAAACGACCTAGCTTTAACCCACTGAACACTGTAGTGTTCGGTGCAGTCTAAGTGGCTAATACACGTCTTAAGACACCTGATTAATGACTAGATTTTGGTGTATAGTTTCCATCATGCCATCTCCGTGTACCTTTAGGGTCAGGACTTCAGAGTTGAGTTCGTGGTATGCTCGCATCGCTCTCATCGTGGTTTCTGAAATAAAAAGGAAAGAATATTGATATATACAAACTAACCAAGTGGTTTACTTGTACTTTAAAGTGGCTGAACAACAGGCTTATTGGCGCTGTTACTAACCGCTGTCACCGTCATTGCCACGGTTCTCATATTCGTGCTGGAGCTTGGCAGTTTCTGATTCTAGAGTCACCGCCAGCTTTCTCAGCTTGGCAAAGAACTGTGTCGTCGAGTCCATCTTCAAATGTGAGTCTAAACTGTGCAGAAATGACAATGTCCTACAATTACACGGGCGAACGAGTCGTTTGTTTACCCTCTCTATTCTCACGAGAAAAACATTTTGAGTTTGGCGCCTCTCTCATTTCCGGCTTCTTCTTCTTCCCTTTCTTAAGTTGTAGTCGCTCTTAGATCAAATTGTTTCAATCGCGACCTCTAGCGTGACAGGTGGTTAACGCTAAACAGGACAAACGAAACATTTCTTATTCCAATTTGCTAATGTACTTTGTTTTTATCCCTTCAAATTATATATATTTTTAATCTTTTATATTTATATTTCTTTTATATCCTCCCTCAGAGTCGATCTATGTCTTATTTTGAATTCTTTTGTTGTTGAGAGTAGTGGTACAAATTTGAGGCTGTTTGTACTTTGACAGTGAATGGAGTGGAAGTATGAAGTGGTATTAGAAGATCATGATCAAGTAGAGGGAAATATAAACATTGTACTTTTTAGTTCCCTACAAATCTGATTGCAATAGTTCCTGTCCTTACTTTGTAAACTACAAATTTACATACAAAAATTAGAGTAACCCAGCAGCATATATAATTAGAGCTGAAATGATTACAAACTATTTTAAAAAGTGACAAACTACACTGTTAATTGTCTAAATAATTATTTATACAAACATTTTTCTGCTTTTCCTCATGATTATTTTATTTTGTTTGTTTATTTAATTTTTTTGTTCAGTAGTTAGATAAAAAAGCAAATTGAATGTGTGATGTTAATAATTATTTAATGAAATAATATATAACAGTAACTACAATATTCACTGGTGACTTTTTTTCAGCACTGAGGACTTTTATTATTTACAGTATATTTAAAGTAAATGATCCCGTGTTTCTACCTGTGTTTCTAGTGAAATTGCTTGTGTGAATTTTAATTGCAGTGGACTATTTCTGTTTGTGGGACTGTTACTTTTATTTGAATAAAGATCTTAAAACTTTATCCACCACTGGTTGAGAGATGTTATATTGATATGTCTTGCCTTAGTGACTTTTGTTTCTTCTACTACGTACCTTCGGCTGTTCCCGTTAGGGTTCGCCACAACGAATCAACTGTTCGCATGTATACATTGGCACGCATTTTACACCGGATGCCCTTCCTGACACAACCCAAATTGGTGATTGATGCCTTTTGTTTAATTATATAATTTTTATGATATTTTGGGGCTCCTTTAAAATAGAGTTCAGATACACAAATGAAATGTCTGTGTAATAATTATAACTGAGTGTGCATTTTGATGACCTTTGAGAAAAGGTCATCAAAATGACAAAGAAAAACAGCAAATCCTTTCATTTGAGAAGCTAGAACCAACAAAATATTTTTTTTTTGAAATACAACAATGAAATAAAAGAATAAAAAAAGCTGTAATAATCATCTCTACATTGAACATTATCAAGCATGGGCAATCAAAGTTCAGAGAGAGCTGTAGGTGGAGGACTCTTATCAGACATAGTGGTATAAATACTGGTCAAATTGTGAAGGTCAGCCCAAACTTGCCACAGAACGACCGAGGTGAGTTGCAAAATCAAATCACTGGGTTCTGGGTTTAAACTGTCCTGCTCAGTGGGATATCAGAGCAGTAAATAGATTTACACCAGTTTTGGCTTTTTATAAACAATGACAACATTTTCTTACACCAGTCAAGTGTTCACTTTCTCTATTTGTCAGAACAGAGCTCTTGAGCTATGGCGCTGTTTGGAAAGGTTCTGGAGCCAGTGGGCTACATGCAGACTTTGAGGTGAGTGGTCCCTCTGAACATGTCGAACAGAAGTTTGATGGGGCCTTTTAACCTTTAAACACCTTGCTCTGTGGTAAACAAAAGTCGTTTTCATGTCCTGTTTAAAAAGTAAGTAACCTATTTGTCAAATACATCTCCCTCCCATATATGAGGACCTCTCACTGCTCGTACCACATATTCAAAGTGAACGACATGTGTGTGTTGTGCTGGTTAGGGTTACGGTCCAAGGCATCTGCTCCTATTTGGGTGGCAGAGCCACAGCAGAGGAGACTGAGGTGTGCAAGAAGAACCTGGACCATATCGATCAGGAGCTGGGAGCATCAGGTCATGGCCTGATTGAAGACCAGGAGGTCCACCAGCTGGAGGATGACCTGGCAGTGGTCTACTACCAGCTGGGCACATCGGTAAATTGCAGTCGTACTCTGTAGAGCCAGCTACTTGTCTATGTATTTTGGATTGAATATCAGCCTAGTAAGTGGGGAGAAAAGGGAGGAGTGTGTCTGCACTGGATGTTTTATTGTGAAGGTTAGGAGACAATTGAGCAGGTGTTCAACTGTCGCAACTAAAGATCATTGTTCTCACAGTGCTAGACAGTTATTCATTTATATATTTTGTTAATTGCATTAGTTTAATCAATTTGCAGATCAATGGAAAATTCTTCCATGACAATTTTGATCAATTTCAATGAATGCTGACAAACATTTGTAAATTTCACCTTTTACACTTTTAAAACTGTTAACATAATCAAAAAAGCAATTTGAAGATCACATCTCAGAATAAAATTACATGTGCGTTTTTCCTTATTTTTTGATATTTTACAGACCAAACAATAAATCAATTAGTCAAAAATAAATAATAATAATAATATGTAGATGCGCCAATCATTTATTTTTGTAAGTGTTCTCACATGTTACTTTAGCCTCAGAAATATAAATAGTTGAATCTTTTATTCACTTATATCCTCAGGCAACATACTGGTTAGCAGTATCTTGTTTAGATATCTGCTCCAAGGACAAAGTGGACAACTTGTCTATTAACATTCCAGATGATAGCTACTTTAAACACTTATCTGACAAAGCATAAACAGTTTTGTTTCCCTTAATGAATGACTTTTAAAACCACTTGTTTAGGATTACATTTTTCATTATAGTTGTTTAAGATAAAACTGTCCTTGAACAGCCTCAATATGACCTTTCTTACTTTCTTATCAAGCTGGACAGGAAACAAAGGGAAAGGCTTTGGTAGCAGTGAAAGAATTACATCTGAACAAAGTGCTGAGAGAGAATGTGCACAGCTTGTTTAACTGTAACACTAACAAGCAGCAATTTTCCTAAACTGATGTTTTTTTGACAGTGACTTAACTCCCCTCACACTATGTGAATTATATAAATATAAATATGTGACCAGACACATGATTCAAGCATTTGTTAAGGGCTTTTTATTTTCTGTTTAATAATTTCACAATGTTATAAATGTTTTAGCGAGTCATTTTACAGACATTTAAATTAAGAAAAAACAAACAAACAAGCTCCTGGATCCATTTATCTCAGTTAGGTGAGCTCTCTCCTGTTTAGTGTTTCTGAAGTGAGAATATGAAAGAAAATGTGAGTTATTATAAGAAAAAACTGGCTAAATGTGAAACTCAAAACTAAAAACAGGTCTTTTGTTAAAGCCTGGAGTTATTAATAGCAGCTATTTATTAACATTATTTCATGTATTCTGTTATATAATATATTATATACACACACACTATTATGCTTGTTCCAGGTGAGGGCCCAGTCAGACTTCATGAAGAAGGAGACTGAGGTGTTCTTGCAGTATGTGCAGGACTACCGGCTGGAGAGGCAGCTGACGGCGCTCTACAACCGTCTGATGGGAGTGTCGCCACTGACCAACCAGCCCACAGTGCTGGAAGAGCTCATACTGAGCCGCAAGCCCAGACGCTGGGAGCTGAAGGAGTTCTGTGTCAAGGTTGGTGAAGGCGGAGGGCACAGTTTTTAGGTGTGGAAGGTCCCTGTGCTCAACTTGTCTCCCTACAGGGTCATTAAAAGTAAATTATAGTCATTATACAAAGGCACACACTCCTGCTTAACCACAGATAAAGGAAGGTGACACAGCAATCTAACAGGAAGGAGAATAAGGACATTCACAGAAACAACCATCTAAACTGGAAGTAAAGTGCAGCTCATCTGTCATTTACATGTGTTCTTCATTTCATCAGAAGCAAGAATTGAAAAGTAATTTCTTCAAAATGTAGATATACTTGATCTCTCTGAGGACAAGTTTATAAGAAAAGCAGCATTAAGGAGCAGAGCTATGCAGGATTAAATATTCAGTTTCCAGACCAAGAAGATAAATGTGACAGATAAACATAGATGTCCTGTGGGGAATGAAGCTCGCTACATCTATCTTCTTGGTTCAAAAATACATTGACTTTTTAATGCAGCAGCTGTGACCTTCTGTTGTCTTTCCTGTGAGCTGAGCTGGCAAATTCCTTTTTGCCTACACTGCAAGTACAGGAACAAATACTTTTATCCACTAAAACAGAGTTTTACAATGGCTGGGCAGCTCAGGTTTTAAACGTATGAAAACAGGAATTAAAAGCCTGGAAACTCTCTGTGACATAACTGGAACTGAAACATCACAGGTTGGAGCTCCACAAAAGTACATATTGTCCTTTTTTTAATTTTATTTTTAACCAGAACAGGAAATGACTTGATGGGCCACTTATTTTAAGTAACTGTGTGTCCATTACTCCAACTGTTGTTTAGAGCTCCTGAGCAGGATACACAGAGCCAGCAGGCGACTTTGAGAGGAAACTGACCTTAGATGTTGCAGCAGGCTTGTTTGTTATGTAATTATCCTATAAATACAATTGCAGGCATGACCTGTGTTGGACCAGCAAGTTACCTCTTATTAAACTGTTTGTAAGATTGTTTTAATGAAGGTAAAAGGACTATGGAGAGTATCTGTCTATTCAAAACAGCTGCTGTTGTTGCTGCTGCAAAGAGAAACTCAAATCAGAGTCCAGACTTGCCTTATTATGGGCATGAGAAAGTCAGTCTTGGTGGATTAACCTTGATGCTGATTAAGTAATTTCTGCTTAACATTGGTGCTAAATGAACGACTTGTTTGTGCAGCACTCTTCAAAGACTTGTTTGCTGTAGAAGTAGGATGCAATGTGCTTGCACTGAGGGTGAAGAATTTTTAATTTTGCTTGCATGTTGTAGTCTAAGTGAATCTCAGTGAAAATACCTGCTAAACTATTCGATACAAGAAACTGAACTTTAATATGCAATGCACAGGAAAAGTTTTTACTTTGAGGCAAGGGGAGAAACATGTTGTGCTAACTAAATGTAGCAATCAAAATCAAAAATCATGTGTCCAGGCTGGAGAACCTGACCTTGCCAGGCAAAGAAATCACAGTAATGTTTCTTTAACCTTGAAGACTTATCATGTGTAAATATGTTGTAAGTGATAAGTTTCTAGGTCATGCTGAGTTTTCTTGCCTTCTGGCAAAAGAACACATAGAATCTAAAGCCTGCAATTAAACAAGGCAAATAACAAAATTAAAATAGCTCTACACCTATTCATTTTCATATTTGAGGTCTTCTGTAACATCACCAACACATCTGTGGACACTGAAGGCTTCTTGTGTACTGGCCTCAGTTAACTTCTCTTTCTTCACAAAGAGTTTGTGACAGGGTTTATTTTGATCAAAGAGGTGAACTTGGACAGTCAAAAGAATGAGCCGGGGATGAGATTTGGAAACACTTCCAAGGTCAGTGCACTATAGCTGCCAAAAAATACCAGATGAGTTAACGTACTGCTAAAGACAATGCAACTCATTAAAGCTCTGCCCGGCCTGGTTTTAACATAAAATGCACCTGTTTTATGAGCCAAAATGAGAAAATGTGACTGTAACAGAGGAGAACACTACATTATCATTATGTAAAATGTGAAAGTTTTGTCAAAATTGTTTTGGTGTCACATACAGCCACTTCTCTCTCACCAGCATTACGTAGTTTTGGCATTACAGTATCAGCCCAGCATAGAGTGTTTAAATGTTATTATGAATCATTTCAGTTGCTGGAACATTTCCAGGAACCCAAGAACTCTTAATATTTATTTAACTTAAACGTTTACCTGCACCTTCTAGAGCATGGTTCCACTTTTGGTTCCTGGGCTCTAGTTCCAGTGTCGCCAGTCTGTCCCAACATAGTTCACTGTGATGGCTCAGGAAGTCAGTGGCTGATCAAACAGATGCCTCAGTACTGCTACTGCATACAATCTTATTTCAGCCTGCAAGAATGAGAGAAATGATATGTTACTTTATTGTTTCAGTTTGTGTGTATTACAGCAGAAAAAACACTTACTACTGTATTTGAAACTTCTTCTAGAGTAAAACACGTTAAAAACAATTTTTTTTACCACTGTTTAAAATGTCACTCCTTCCCCTTTTCCTCTTCTTTCTTTCAACAGATAAACTTTGTCCTGGGCACTGGTTTGCTGTGTCTCTTTACGCAGGCTTCTCTGACAGGCAGAGATCAGGCTCTGCTGCTGAAGACTTGGTCCGACCGCATGGGTGCCCTCTACAGGAAGATGAAGAATACAGGAAGCCGCTGCCTAGGCTACTTTCAGGAGCAGGCAGAGATGGACATAAGACAACAGCTCCATGAGGCCGTGCAGAACCGTGTGACCCCTGAGGACGCGGCGGCAAGCATCCTGAAAACCCTGGAGCATAACTATGATTGGCTGCACTGGGCAGTGATGCTCCATCCTGCTGTGGGACCCACAGAGGACAAGACAGATGAGGAGACACAGGAAGAAGGTGAACCAGCAGAAGAGCAGTCCAGTAATTTGCTGTTTGTGGCATCTGAACCTCCAATCCCCCATGTGGCGGCATGCTACCGTGATACCCCCAGCTCACTGGATAAGAGCCGTATCCACCAGCTGATCGTGGACCTGGAGTGGAAGATCCCCAACCCGCCACCTGAGGTGTACAGTTCCATTGAGGAGGACCCAGACAGGGCACGGCGTTACCTGGCCTCACGCATGCGGAACAAGCTGCAGAAAGGGCTGGGGTCTGGTGTGGCCGTCCACGTGGTGCCAGGCAGGATGGAGATGAAATGCAACTTCCCTCCAGCCTCCTACTACCTCTACGAGTACAAACACCGGCTAGCTTCAGGCACTGTGTGTGTGTTTGGATGAAAGGAAACTACCTGTTCTCACACAGATGTGTCCGATTACAGCATCTGTTTCATTTTTGTTGCTTTCACAGTGGTTTTACATGTCTTGTGTAACATTACTATCAAATAAATGTCATTTTAGAGAAAAGAAAACATGACATACTTGAGTTTTTGCCTTCCTTTAAAGTAGAATTCTAGTTTATTACAACTTATGTCTAAGAGGTGATGCTGTCAGACACTTTGGTCCACACCAAAATAGCTCACAAATATAGGATGGACTGAAATACAGTACAGACATTCATGGTCCTCAGAGGATGAAATGTAGTTACTTTGGTAATTTCCTGACTTTTTATAAAGTGCTACATGAGGTCAAAACTCACCCAATGCTTCCGTTTTATATGTAAATACTTGCAAAATCTGCCATTCCAATCAGCCCCAGCTATTTAGTGCTAATGTTAGCATACTAACATGCTAAACTAATAAGGTGAACATGGTAAATATCACACCTGCTCCACCATATGCATTGTCAGTAACCAGACTATCACTGGCAGAGACTTTCTTCTTTTGTCACTAAGATATGCTTTGACTCTGATTATCAATGCTAAATTGCAACACCAGTAATGAAGCACAAAGATCAAATGTTTGACCTGTTTTTATTGCTGAGGTCTTTGTTTATTGCAGATAACTTATGGATCAGATGACAGAATCTCTCCCAGTCAGTGAAAATGGTGGGTGCACTACACCTGTTCATCTGATCAATGAATGATGGTTTGTACTTTTGTCCACATGAGGCAGGATAGGACAGTCACCTTTATAAGCCAAGCATATTACACACACAAGGAATTTGTTTCTGGTACAGAACCGAGGCAGCCATCTGCGGCACCACCTCAACCGATGGCTCTGACCATCGGGGGCTATTTGGGGGTTCAGTGTCTTGCTCAAGGACACTTTGACATGTGGACTGCAGGCACCGAGATTCAAAACTCCGACCCTCCGGTTGGGAGACGACTGC